AACCACTACTCCATCCCTACCTACCCACCCCATACTAAATAAAATTATTATTAATAGTACTTTCTTTTAATGTTATTGATAGATTTATTTTTTCATTTCAACCAATGAGTATTTTTTTTTATGATATAAATATATATTTTTTTTATTTCAATAAAATGAGTATATATTTTTTTTCATGATGTAGAAAAAGTATTTTCTTTTATTTCAATAAAACGAATACTTTATTTTCATATTGTAGAAAGAGTACTTTATTTTTCAACCAAAAAGAACTATTTTCTTTTTAGTTATGGAACACAAATTTTAACGTTATTTTTGCCTAAAAAAGTAAAGCAACACACTAGTTTATTTGGGTTAGTGTGAATTTTTAGAAGAATAATTAAATTTTTGAACAAAATAGAGTTATGAAAACGTTGGTTATTTGGGGGGGAGGGGAGAGGGGAGGAAGGAAAATTAGGGACTTGGGGAAAGGGGGTGAAGAGAGTAGCATAAAAAAAATTTACTCTCTAACCAAATACTAGAAAATATTTTTCCTGAAAAAGTTTTCATTCACCCACCAAACAAGGAAAAATAAGTGATAAAACACCCATTTTCCATGAAAACAATTTATAGGAAAATATTTTCTATGGAAAATAAATCTTTATTCTCAATCAGTTTAAGGGTTTGTTTGGTATGAAGGAAAATATTTTCCATGAAAAATGTTTTCCTAAAAAATATTTTAATGGAAATGAGTGAGTTTATGATTTATTTTCCATTGTTTGGTTGGTGAGCGAAAGAAAAATACTCATTTGTTGTAATAAAAAAAATACTCTATCTATGACATGAAAAGAAATTAATATTAATAATATTTGGTGTAGGTGGGGTAGAATGACGGGGTTGGGGTGGGTTGGGAGTGGGTAGGTGGGGGAGGGATTGGGGGAGTTGGTGCGGAAGGGGAATATGGCAGAGAAGGTTGAAAAAGAATCTTTTAAAATGAAATGAGTTGATGAGTAAAATATTTTTCAAAATATTTAAGCCAACCAAATATGAAAAAATAGGAAAATATTTTTTGAAAAATATTTTAATTCGTACCAAACGCGAAAATGTCCTGTTACATGAGTATTAGTTATGTGTAATTTGATATGGATTTTTTCCCTATGCAACCAAACCATCGTATATAAGAACCTCCATCTGACTGATTATAAGAAGTGATGAAAGTGAGAAGACTTGGGGTCTTGCAGAAGCATAGAAAGCGTGCTACATAACTACACTCTGTCGCTAAATCTTTTATCGAAGTAATCTCATACGCATTGAGTTCGCGTTTGATTCAAATGGAGCTCCTTCGATCGAACCTCGCTCGTGTTCGAATTCCTGAACCAACAACTCGTATCTACAAGCACGAATGCTGCATTTCTTTTGATACTCCCGTAATCTTTCTAACTACTTGTTTTTACTCTTCGAGCATTTCTCTCTCTCTGATTCTACTTCATTTCATTTGTTTCTTTGCTGGAGATTGTTTCTTTTGCTTTTAGAGTTTAGTTTGAATCGTCTGCCTAAATTTTGATGATTGTTACTGGCTTCTGCTATTTGATTGTTTAACCTTGTAGGGTTTATCATTTGTCTGCTAGGGTTTATGACTAATCTTTGGAGTTAAACTGGACTATATTAATTCATTTTTGCGTTAAAAAATTGAACTCCAGTTATTCTGAAACTGTAGGAAATGTACTATAAGTTGCCGTTCTCTTCATATCGAAAATGGTAAAAGATATATCTCAAATAGGATTTAAGTTATATACGCTGATACGGTAGTTCTTTTACACTACCAGTGAATTTTAACTTGTGATAGCAAACTAGTTACCATTTTTAACAGATTATCAATTAATGCTTATCAAGAGATTTACGTCTAATTACCTAATAAATGACATGATTGTGTAAGGATATTTTACACCTTTTGCATAGAAATTATACTCTTTAACATTTTGGTCAAAATTCACTTGATTTGATATCGAGAAGCTAAAATGCCAAACATTTTGGACAGAGGGAGTACTGTTAAAATACTTTGCTTGGCTAAGCTACTAGGGCAGTTAAATAGGTATAATGCCAACATTGGATTCTTTGCTTTGGTCTTTAATATTTCTTTTCAATTATATTGTGACTATGCTTTTTATGAGTCGAGGGCCTCTCGAAAACAGCCTCTCTACCTTGCCAAGGTGGGTGTAAGGTCAACATACATACTACCCTCCTTAGACACACTTGTGGGATTACACTGTAGTAGTAGTTGTTGTTGTTGATCTTTAATGTTTGAATTCGTTACCGTTTTCAGTTGGAAAATATATAATCCGCTATTGAAACTTTGTTAAGCTATTAGTATTGATTTTGTTACGATTGTGATTTTTCTGATGCAACATTTGTCAGAAATCCGAGGGCGGGCTGTTTGTTGATATGAACACCTTTCTTGCGTTTGGAAGGGATTATGTAGGTTGGAACTACGAGAAGACTGGGAACCCAGTTTATTTGCACATAAAGCAAACAAAGAAGACAATTGCTGAAGATAGACCATCAAAAAGACCCACGCTTTTGGCTATAGGCAATAAAAATTTATAAGTCATATGAGTTGAATGCACCTTACCACACAAACTCTGATGTATAATTTGGTTATGTCTTTCCGTTTCCAGGTATTGATGGAGGGTTTGATAATAGTGATCCCCAGTATGAAGAAAGCTATGAAATTGTTATATTGCCGGATTACGTAAACCTTCCTTTCCCTTTTGTGGAGTTACCTGAGAAGGTACCTTTTGCAATTAAATTCTTTCTGAAGCGATCCATTTTTATAGAGTATGCTATACACTAAATATGGTTTTAACATTTTTACTTCCATATCATTCCAACTTGCAGGTGAGGTTGGCTGTTGATGCTACTTTAATGGCTGAAGCTGCTGAAAGGAAAGAGCAAGTTGCTTCATGGACTGCTGACAAGAAGCTTGTCAGTAAATATGCCATGGATCTGCAGCAGCTCGACAATGGTGTTGTTGTTTCTCCAAGGGGTTGGAAATGTGCCAAGTGTGACAAGACCGAAAATCTCTGGCTGAATCTAACCGATGGATCTATCCTTTGTGGTAGGAGAAATTGGGATGGAACTGGTGGTAATGACCATGCCATTGACCATTACAAAGAAGCTGGTTACCCCCTTGCCGTAAAGCTAGGGACCATAACTGCTGATTTGGAGGGGGCAGGTAATGCCATCTTTTTGTTTTGAAGAAGGTAGCAGATTTTATATAAATAATCAAAAGAGTAGCCCTTAGCACAAAGATTGTGAGAGAAACATAGTTATAGGAGCCCCCCAAAAGCAAAAACCTAGTCCTGCAATAGTTACAAGGACCCAATGATGTCAACTACTGATTATACATCTTCTACTAGGGCCTCTTTACACGAAAGTTCATCTTGATCTTCTGTTCAGAGTTAGCTACATCTTCAAAACACCTTGAATTTCTCTCCCTCCATATTGTCCACCAGATACATGAAGGGATAATTCTCCATCATCTCTTATGTCTCTCAATGTTACCTGGATCATTCCAACGTGCTAACAAGTAACAACTCAGCAGTTTTCCTAGGCATTGTCCCTCTGAGTCCTTTCATACTGCCACAGAGTACTGGTAACTCTGTAATGGAGAAACAAGTAATGCCATCTTATATATAAATGATCAGAAGTTGGTTATCAGAACTTGCGGCTCAGCTCCTTTCCGTTTTGAATTTTCTTGTGTAGATCAAGTCTTGATTTTTTCATAGTCGAGTATTACTGGTTTATTTCTAAGCACAGCAATCATTTGTAATGCAGATCTGCCATTCTGCCTTATGGATTACCGAACTACTATTTTCTTTGTGTTCAGTCAACTTAAGCTTTGTATCTTTCAAGTCTTAGTTCAGGATGAGGGAGATGTAACTTACTCTTCAAATATGTCAATCGTTTTGGATAGTAAGGAAAGGCTACCTGAACTGTTTGATTTTGGTCATTTTTTGATTTTGATTTAAGTTTTACGAAATTTCAGTTTGGTTTCGTGAGAGGCTTCTAAAATTCGTTCACTTAGTAACCAAAAACTAACAGGCTCTGGATTTTAAAGAATTGACTCAGTGGCATGGTAGTCATTTGAGTTCCCTAGATATTGGAAGTGGGGTCCAGTGGTTTTGTAGTCTGAAATTCTCTTTCTTGTTCCTTATCAAAAAGTTGTCTTTTCTTTGTTTTGATCATTTTCTTGGCCATGCCTACCTTTACAATGAGCAATGTCAATTCAGAGAAGTAGAATTGAAGAGTATCAGAATATCGTCCTATATCTTGTTGAACCAAAAATAGAGTGGGCACAAAGTTCATGTAGAGTGGCTAATTCCTGTATCTTTCAATATGCCATGGTTTGTGGGAATACAACAACAACAACAACAAATCTAGTGTCTTATCTCCTTGTAGTGTATAGCTATAAATAGGGACCTCTTGTATTGTATTTATCATCCAATATCAATAACATATTTTCTCCCGTGCCTTCTCACATGGTATCGGAGCATTAGTGAGAAAAGATCGATGTGCGTCATTCCAGCGTTAACCGGGAAGAAAGAACTTAGTCATCGTGCAATTTTTCCGGTGACCTAAGGCTTGTCTAAGTGAAAGTCACTTTCTGTCAGTGTTGTGCTAAAACCAACACCACCACGAGGTAGATCACCCTCCGACGACCAATCCCTGAAATTTTATCCGGTAGAAAAGCCGCCACGCTCCTCCACGCGCCGGGGTTCCGGCCACTTTCCGGCCATTGTTTTGCGAAGCTTCTTCAGGACAGTGTGCTCTCTTCAAAATTCCGAGTCTACCCATCTAATTCAAATCAAATTCCGACCACTTTTATATTTTTCCGGCGTGAACAGTGACCTTCCGGCCATATTTTGAAAACATTTCTTCAGGACTGCTTGCTCGCAAAGGAATTCCGAGTCTATCCATCCTATTACGACAAATTCCGACAACTTTGGAATTTTCCGGCGAGCTAGAGTGTTTCCGGCACAGAACAATGTTCTGTTTTCCTGCTGTAAATAATGTTTTTCAAGCTGTTTCTTCAGTTTTCTCACAGGAGTTACTTATTTCCATCATTTAAAGTTAACCCTACTACTACAAATTGTAGCGACATGGGAACGGATGCTTTGAATAGTCGGATGGTTTCTTTAGCAGAGTATATTGAGTTCCTTCAGTATAAAGCA